CCTGGCCCTTGTCCCTGAGTACATGGACTCTATTGCTCGGAGTAGGTTCGGAGGAATTCTGTATGCCTTCAGGATCTTCATCATCATGCCTCGGTGAATCGAGTCAAATGCCTTTTTGAAGTCTATGAAACATAAGACTGCAGTCAGATTGTCCTTCCTCACCTCCTCTAGGTTGTAGCAGTTCGCCCTACTCGAAAGCCATTCTGATTTACTCTCAAGTGAGGGTCGATTGCTTGCCGGACCCTGTTTAGAATCATGCGGTTGTAGATTTTCGCAGTGATACAGGTCAGACTGATACCTCGGTAGTTGTCCGGCTTCGAGAGGTCTCCGGATTTGGGCACTGGCACGATGTTTGATAGAGACCACATATCAGGCTGCCGATTGTGAAGCAGAGCAAGATTGCAAAACTCCAAAATGATGTCATCAAGATCACAGTTCTTCAGCACCTCTGGGGGTATGCCATCCGGGCCAGCGCTTTTCCCCACTCTTACTGTGGCTTTTGCCCTGACGAGCTCACCGAGTGTGAAGGGACCATCGGTGATGTTCAGGTTTGGGAGGTCTGATTGTATTTCCTCTTCCTCAGCTGCGTCTGCTGTTTCTCCCAGCAGCCTTATGAAGTGGCTTGACCAGGTCACCACCCTCTCCTCCGGGCTGTGTTCCTTCACCTGTCCCTCCTTGGTCCTCTTCCGCCCCGTCATTTCATTGATGACCCCTCCATGCTTCCCCATACTGCCGTACTACTGCCAAATTCTCTGAAACACCTTTGGAGATGGCTTATGGTAGAGAAATGAACATTCAATTCACAGCCAACAGCTCTGGTCGACATTCCTGCAGTCAAATTTGCGACATCTGTGGCATTGTTCTCGGTGATAAAACTGCACATTTTACAGTGGCCTTTTATTGTGGCCAGCCTAAGGCACACCTGTGCAATAATCATGCTGTCTAATCAGCATCTTGAAATGCCACACCTGTGAGGTAGGGCTGAACGATTAATTGCATTTGCGATAAAATCGCGATATGATGAAACGCGATTTTGTAATCGCAAGAGCTGCGATTACACTGGTCACTTGACACGCGAGAGAAAAGCAGTCTGCAAGATAAAGCATCAACTTGCCACGCTACGCGGTCTGGCGTCCAGAAAAGAACAGTTTATTGTGTTATTTATTCTCTCCTCAACAATCCTGGATCGATTCAGAAAATTTCAGAATCGAGTATGAGCTTATAGTTTTTAAACACAGATGCGTGATGACGCTGTGCGTGCTTTAGAAACGAACCGTGTTCTGAATCTGCTTGCTTTTATTTTCTCGCTCTCTCTCTTCCTCACTCACACACACGACACCGCTCGAACCTTCCAAAACATAGTAACGTTATTTTATAAAGGTCGGGGTTGAACCGAATTACAAGGACATTCGCGGGCTTCATTGAACAGGTTTTGCCGCTTTGCTTGATGTTATAACGTTACACTTGCAGTGCGCGTTCTCTCCCGCGGGTATTTTCTTTACAAATGCTTCACAGAGGCATTATTTATATCTTTTGGAATGCAGTTGGCTTATATTAAAACTATGAAAATCACTGAGAAGGCTGCTTTCATTTTAAAATACTAACGCATGCTTTGTGAAGAGCGCTCGTGCATGCGGCCGTGAGCGACTCATTGGTAAATGTACTTGCATGTCAAAATGCTTTTATGACGCGAAATTGATGTAAACACGGTCAGTTATATCTTAAACCAACAGGACAAACCACATTTACAATTTCAAAAGAGATATATGCATTAGTGTGAATGCAGCTTATCGTATCTAAACTGAGGGGAAATCACTCCAGCTCTTGAATGAAAAACATTCAGACAGCCTACTTTTAAATAGCCTACTGAGACCACTCTTTGTTTATTGCTTGCAATGTTTTTTTTTTTTTTGTTTCTCTTTATTTACTAGCTTTTATATTTTGAAGCTATATTATTTTATATAGCCTATTTAAAATTCTTAACATGTAATTGGTTTAATTAAATGTTTTTTTTTATATTTATTTTTTAAAGTATGTGTTTTTACACAAGTAATTAAATACATATTTTAAGAGTTATTAAGATTAATTAATAAGAAAAAAAGTAGATCGGATCATGAGCTATCTAAAGATTCCCATCCCTACTGTACAATGATTTATTGCTTGTCTTTGTCGACTAACACAGAAGGTAAATAACTTTTTTTTTTAAATCGCATATTAAATCGCAATCGCAATATTGGTTAAAAAAATCGCAATTAGATTATTTTCCAAAATCGTTCAGCCCTACTGTGAGGTGGATGATTATCTCGGCAAAGGAGAAGTGCTCACTAACACAGATTCAGACAGATTTGTGAACAATATCTGAGAGAAATGGGTCTATGAAATTGTGTACATAGAAAAACTCTTAGATCTTTGTTCTTGTTCAGTGTATATGGTGTTGATATATATATATTAAGATAATAAAGGTTTATGTATAAAGTAAAATAATACACAATTCGACTTAATGTATTTATAAACATTTTAAGAACACTTACTATTAATATGTAATAAAGATAGGTTTAAAACATTTATAGGGCATTTAAAATGTTCCTAATATTGTTTTGGGAGTCCCCAACAACAGTTTTACATGCATGCAATGACAAAAAACACGTTTGTTGTCTTATAATGAATATGCATTTATTTTTTACCGGATTTGCTAACCGTTTTTCCAAACCCCTCCTTTGCGTGACGCTAATCTGCGGTGATTGGTCAGATGACCCAATCAGGTATCGTTTGGGTTTGCCCAACGCATAAACATATTGATAAAGCACTGCAGTACTAGGTATTGCTCTATTCTTTATGACAACTTTAATAACACCGACATACATTTCACATTATTTAAAAAAAAAAATGACCTAGAGGTTTCGCTGAGCGTAACTTACACAACACACACACATGCTTATTCAGCATGCTACAAAACACATAAAAGCAACAATTATTAACAAGTTGTTAACAAAGCATTAAAAACCACGATGGACTATTTACATATGAGCCTATTAAACAATAACACTTTCTTAATTACAGTGGCATTGAATGAAAACTTTTCGCTGCTATTATAATAAACATGCGTAGACTACAATTTATAAACTATTAGTTAAGTTTAAACTAATTGTTTGCAAATGATTTATAACTGTTTTGTTACTATATACGTATTATGGAGTGTCACCAAACCTTTTGATAACACACTGGAGAGATACTTTTACAAACATTATACATTTTATGTAAATTATGTCACTTATTAAACGTAAGTGTATTGTCTAATCTGACAACTGTAGACTTCACAATTCACAAACAATGTGAATTGAAACATGTTTGCAATTTAATGAAATGATTGGTAAAAAAATGGTACTATATCGAAAGAAGATCACACTGTTGAGTTTTGTTGATTAAACCGAGTGTACTCATTACATATTGCAATAATATTGCATTGAAACAATGATTACGTGCATGGCAAATATACGTATAATTGTAATGAAAGCTTGAAATCAAGTTTTGAAAAAAAATGAGGTGAACTAGCTCTGTCCCAAATGTGATCCACTTGGATTTTTGTACTAAGAGGTTGGAAAATGTACAACTTGTGAAAACAGTTCCAGAAAAAAAAAATGGTACTGTAAAGTTTTAATTTTAATCATCAAATTTGAATCACACAGTATCTTGCAATGTTTGCTATTGAATGAACTAAATGTTTAAAGTACAAAAAGGAGAAATAAAGATCATATTGCTGTGTAGGCCTACTGTGGTGATAAACTAAATGTTATTTATTTATTTGAACATGTAAATAAAATAAAATAATCAATCAAAGAAACTAATAATAAAAAAAAAATAAAAAAAAATAAACAACAATGTAAAACTCCATACTTTCAAAAACTTTAGCCAAGACTGAAATACTTCTTGACAATTTTGTTTGAATGTGTTTTATGTGAGATTTCTATCAAATCTTGTCGTCTGTATTCACTCCAAGGAACTTTATTTCATACACTCTTTCTATATTAACACCTTCGATCTGTAGCTGAGCTTGATTGATTCATTTACAATTTCCAAATAACATAAATTTAGTTTTAGTCAAATTTAATGATAACTTATTTGCGTCAAACTATTTTTCTATTTAAAAATTTAAAAAATTTTCTATTTCTACTGTTTTTCTATTTAAAAATTTTACATTTTAAATGTAACTATTTTTTCTGAATTCTGAAGTGATTAGAGTTGCTGTAAATTCTGACCAAAAAAAGCCTATAAATTTGAGTAATTCAGTTTTACTTAAATCGTTTATGTAGAGAATAAATCATTTTGGTCCCAAGACTGACCCCTGGGGGACACCACACGCAATATCCAAACATTCAGATAATGTTCTTATTACATATTAACAAAGATGTAACATAAAATATATTCATAACTGTAATTAAAGCATGCGACCAGGGTTGTCCTTTTTTGTAGCTATGATGCAAGTATGATCAGTCTAGATTTAAAAACATTAGATATTGAATGCAGAAACGTAGAAATGCAGAAAATAACGAATTAGCTTTGAACAGAACTGACTAATTAATTAAGTTAGCAAGAATCTCTTCACACATGTGGCATACAGTATATGTTTTATTTATTTTCAATGTGTTTGTTTGGCCTTACTTCCAATACCTGATGACAGTTTTTCTTGGAGGCAAGATAGTAAGGTTCATTTCTGCATAAACACCATGTAAGCAGAACGTTATAGCGAGGTTTTTACTTTTAAATACTTTTAAGTAAATGTAAGTACTTTTGTTAAAAGAAAAGAAAACATGGATCAAAACATCCCATGAATAATTGGAAGCGTGTTGCCAGAGAGAGATACTGCCGAACTCATGCAGTTTGAGTGTGCTGAACTTCGATTGGATCAAAGTCGGCCAGGTTGAACCTCTGGATTAAAGGGTTGTTTAAACTAATGACCAACTCTGATTGACACTCACCATCCTCATTTCTTGCTTCAACAGAGCGTGTAACTGAAGTCAAGACTGACATTTTCGTGACGAGTATTGGACCAGTATCGGACCATGACATGGTAAAACCACATTTTCTTCCTTTCTTTAAATGTCACACATTTTCTGTTTTGCCATTGTTCAAAGGAATCATTTACAGGGTTAATTATTTGTGGGGCTACTGGAGATACTTTAACCTGTTAGTTGTTTTGTGATGCAGACTGCCCCATTTAGTTTCAGCCTCCCCAGTACACATAGAACCCTCCAGCTGGGATATGTTATTATTTTGTCTTTATAATACTTAATGACGACTTTGTATTCACACTGTTTTAATACCGTGATGATAAAATGATAAAATGTATCAAATGTCCTTGTCATGTCATGTCTATCCTTGTTTTTAGAAAGTATATTAACAATGCAATCCTTTTTAGACAGAGTAATTGGTAGAGTAACTTACTCAACACTAATCATTTTCATAATGGATGATCATGTGAAAATGGGGGGGGGGGGGGGTGCCCGCAGCTATGACAATCAGTAGTTGTTAGAATGATTCATGCCGCTAATTATAGCCACCAATGCTTCGAAAAGCTCCTCCTGTGCCTGCAGTTTTACTGAAATTACTGCACAACATCTACTCTACAACTATCAATTAGAAACCTTTAAAGTATTTGAGGATAAATGAAGGAGCTCGTTTTGTCGCATTCCAAGCTTAACAGCAAATGGTGACTATGAACTATAATTATGGCAAGAGTGTAACATTTTTTTGTAAACAAAATACTAACAAATGATTTATTGAAACTAAAACTACACATGGATTTAAGATATTATCAAAAATGAAACTGAACATGTGTGGTCTTGCAGGAGTACACCATAGATGTGTTCTTCAGGCAGAGCTGGAAGGATGAGAGGCTGAAATTCAAAGGTCCCATGGCAGTGCTTCGTCTCAACAATCTCATGGCTAGTAAAATCTGGACCCCTGACACATTTTTCCACAATGGCAAGAAGTCAGTCGCCCACAATATGACCATGCCTAACAAACTTCTACGGATCACAGAGGAAGGAACTCTGCTTTACACCATGAGGTGAAGCTGCTATTGTTTTCTAGAACAGAATGTGCATTTGGTGACCTTGTCATGCTATTTCCTTTTAATCTTGGTGTTTTATCTCAAGTAATTGCACTTGAGAACTGAGCAGTACTAATTTCTATCTATAGGGTGGGGGTCCTGACTGTTTGGGGATGAGTAGGATAGATGGTAACACTTTACAATACGGGTGCACTAATATGCATTAATTCATGCTTGACTAATGCACAGATAATCATGAGTTAATGTATAACTCATGAAGAACTAATCCATTAATTAATGATTACTGCATTAGCAACTAATAAAGAGTCTATATGATTAATAGTTTAAGTAATACATGAATTGCTATTAATTCAATGTGTCATTGTGTATTAATTCCTTAATAACATACTTTATTAACTAATAGTGTAAATTAATGTGTTAATTACCACAATTAGTCAAAGCTATCCACTTCAAACTTCCAGTTGGCTGCTTTAATTAATCATTAGCTAATAATTTGCAAAGTTATCATGATGTTATGACTTTACTTTTTGGGGCACATCATTATTAAGTAGTCATTTAGTAATTGTAGACTAACAATGAAGTAATTAATCATGTATGAATGCATATTAGTGTACCTGTCATATTATCTGGAAGTTGAAATACAAGGCTTTGGCTCATTTAACATATTAATTAACTCTATTAGTTAAAAAAATGAGTTATTATGGAATTAATCCTCAATTACATATTCAATTAAAAACAATTCATGTTTGAACTAATACATTAAACTAAGAGACTCTTAATTAGTTCCTAATGTGGTAATCATTAATGAATAGCTTAGATAATCATTAGTTACACATTAATTCAATATTATTTGTGCATTAGTTAAGCATGAATTAATGTTTATTAGTGCACCCGTATAGTAAAGTGTTACCGGATTAAATATTTATTTATATTTAAAAATATAATTTAATATATATTAAACCAATGACAAAAGGTGTACATATTAAATAACATTGTGGTAATGCCATTTTTTGGATAATGTAGTGAATTAAATATATCAAACACAAAAAGTGAAATGTGTCGATGTGTACATCTCTAAATTCAGAATGGATGAATTCCACATCAATGAAGACAATTACACTACTTAGTAACAGATGCTTTACAAATAATACCAACTGTTTTTCTATCATTTTGAAAGAATATGTTGTAACTGGGGGTCTAAAAGGGGTCTAAATGTTGTATCCCACCTTCTCTCTTGTGTCTCAGGCTAACAGTCAGAGCTGAATGTCCGATGCACTTAGAGGACTTCCCAATGGATGCCCATGCTTGCCCTCTCAAATTCGGCAGCTGTAAGTGCTGTGCTGTTTTACATTTTTGTTCCGTAGAAAGTTCATAACCTACACAAAGTCTCTAAACTGAGTACCTGTGAGTCAAACGTTGAATTTCTCAGATGCCCACATAGCACCTCACATAACAGACAGATTTAGCCAGATCTGACCCAACTAATCACTGAAAAGAAAGAACAGATGTGTCTACGCCGGAGAAATAATCAGGAGGAAAAGAAGCATGAATAAAAAGCGAGTTTGAGACTCAAAGCCACAAGGCACTAAATATTTCAGTGTGTGCTGCGTCTCTGCTGTGCTTAAGAATCCACTGCAGTATATGACCTCAGGAAGCACTGACAGCTGACAAGTGACTTCTTCAGTTTAAACACTTTCATTTTATTTTGTGTTTTGTTTGTTTGCACCAGATGCATACACAAGGGCTGAAGTGGTGTATGTATGGACACGAGGGGCAGCGCAATCTGTGGTTGTGGCTGATGACGGCTCGCGCCTCAACCAGTATGACTTGATGGGACAGACTGTCGACTCGGGTGTGGTGCAATCCAGCACTGGTTCGTTTTTACACCCTTAAATTATTTTAAATAATATTACTTTTTCCATTCTGTGGTTTTATTTTTGCAAGTTTACTTCTAATTATCATGCCCATCATTTTTCTCATTGATTTATTCTGTTCTCTTTTTTATTGGCCAATTGATCACAATTCAAATACACTCTAAATCATAAACATCTGAATATTGTTCAATATTCTAATGAACAGTTTTATACATGAGCAATTGCTCTAAATATCACCGCTTCCAGATGAAAACCCATAGCAGATAGATGTATAGCCAACATATGAGCAATAAGTGGTTATTTGTTCCCATGAGCGAAATTCAGGTGCAAAATAGCAGCATCAAACATAAAGTGCATAAAGCAACATTGTTTTCTATACAGAAGGATATGGACAATCCATGACAAAACACGAAACAAAAAACGTGCAGAATTGAATGAACAATGCATAATCTACCATAAAAACATTGTAATATTTAGCTTTCAGTTTATGTTCAGTTCTGTTCAGTTTCTGAGAACTGGGGTTGAATCCAAACTGTAAAACCAGATGAATATGTGCAGACAGGGCCAACAAGTTGCAGCACATACATCGTGAAGTGATGAACCCTCAGCAAAGGTCTTGGAAGAGGACATACTCCTAGTGAAATGACCCCTGACCTCTACAGCTGAAGCCATACCAAACACCTTGTAGGAGAGGGTGATCGCATAGATAATCCAATGGAATATGCACTGCTTGGTGACCACATTTCCTCCATTGTGACGACCGAAAGAAACTAGAAGCACAGAGGATCAATACCACGAGCCTGGGAGATGGACATACATAGTAGATCCTTAAAGCACAGACTAGGCATAACAGATGCAGACTTTCTTACTCTTGCGTCTCATGGGGGGGAGGTAAGAAAGCATGCAAGACAAATGGCTAACCACTCATAGAAAGAACTTTTGGGATATAGTCCGGTCTAAGGTCTAAGCTGGAGGAGGCTACTGAAAGGGCCTGCAGGTCTCCTACTCTCTGGAGTAATGTCAGGGACTGATTCCAAGGCCTTAAACAGGGCCTCTGTTGAGGACCAATGACCAATTTTAGGTACCAGGATGAAACTCGTGACCCACCGATAGGCTGCATCCATCTGGCACCATGCAAGAACTGAGAAACTATGGGGTGCCTCCCCACAGGAGATCCGTTCAGAGATGTGGGGCTAGCAGAAATGGTTGCTGCATACACCTTTAAGGTAGCAGGAGCCATCCCTGCTGCTAGATCCTCTTGAAGGAACTCCAGTCCTGGACCGACAGGGCAGTTAAGTGGATCCACATCGTGTTGCTTAGGTACCAAGATACAAGCAGTTGCCGTTTCGGGGCATATAACCCCCAGAATATAAACTAATCTCAAAGACAGGAAATTGTTCTCTGCCCAGAGCAGGATGTGCTACACCTGCCTGAAAATGGGGCCTGAATGCAGCCTGCCCTGGTGATTGACATAAGAGACCACCGAGGTGTTGTCCGTGCGGACTAACATGCGGTGTCCCTTAAACTGTGGGAGGAAGTGTTTCTTAGCTAGTCTCAAGGCATGCCATGAGGTATGAGGGCCCTCCCAAAGGCCACGGGCTGGTCGGTCATCGAGAACCACACCTCAGCCTGTGAGATTGGCCTAGCTTGATAATCTCTCATAGTTAGGACTGAATTTACATATGCAAGTGCCTGCATAGTGGTCGATTCCCACATTATTCCTAGAAAAGTGGTTCTCTGTTTTGAAGAAAGCACACTCTTCTTGAGGTTCATCCTGAGCCCCAAACACTTCATATGAGCGAGCACAAGATCTCAAGGTCGTGTTGCTAGCTCTTCCGACTGGGCTAATATCAACCAGTCACCAATATTGTTAAGTACACGGATGCCCTAGAGTCGCAGCGAAGCAAGAACAGTTTCCATGCCCTTGGTGAACGTGTGGGGACAGAGCTAGGCCGAAAGGAAGTTCTCGATATTGGTAAGCTTCACCTTCGAAAGCAACCCTGAGAAACATCCTTTGTTCTGGCATGATCTCGATGTGAAAATATGCGCCCGTTAAATCTGTAAACACAAATCAATCCTCAAAGTGAAGTTGTGGCACTACTAGTTGCATCGTTAGCATCTTGCACCTGTATGTCCGAATTGTATGGTACAGGCCCCTTAGATCGAAAATTGGACGGAGACCCCCATCTTTGTTGGGTACTGTAAAATACCAACTTTAAAACCCTGTGTCTCTTTCTGGGAAGGGTGCATGTTCTATGGCCCCTTTTAACATAGTGCAGTTCTTGTTGGAGGAAGACTTTGTCTCCTTCCTGACGCACTTTTGTTACCATTACTCCATGGAAACTAGGTGGATGGTAGACAAACTGAATCCTGCAACCTTTTGTTACAGACCTCGGGCAGAAGTTGCCAGACTGTCACAAAGTCTGACAGATTAATCTTTTTTTGTTCAATAGAATTGGTCTGTTCGGTGCCCTCAAGCAGTGGACTGGCAGGGAACAACCGAACTGACCAGGAGAATGAATCGCTTGTGAGCGAAGTTGGGGCGAGGAGGTTGATAACGCTTGTGTATGAACATGAGCGTTGGATGGATACTTCCACAATCTTCACATCTCAGTGTGAAGATTGTGAAAGAATGTGATATGGAGGTGAGGAGGCTGTACTCACGTTGATATGAGGAAGTGGTCATCCAGTTTACGTCCATTTTCTCTCATCGGGCCAATTCAGATTTTATCTGGCCACTGGACAAGTAACAACCTCAAGCAGCTCTTCAAAAGTGTCAAAATGAGGAATCTACTCTGTTGAAGTACTCGCCTGCTTATACACATTCAGTACTTTAGGATCAGACGCAGAAAGCATGAGTTTCAAGTTTTGGTCTGAAGAATTCGCAAAAAAACGTCCTCCACCCAGTCAGCGGAGACTGTTTCAAACTCTATCTCTGCCAACTCAACCTGCGAAACCCATGACCGGAGTTGCCACGCTGCAGTTGAACTGAGCAGAACTGGTGCGAGTCCTGACAAATCCTGACTGATATCAACAAGCACACACAATGGAGGATTGTAGACACACATTCAAAAAAACATAAGGCTTCTCTTCAGATTAATTATAATTAATCATGCATATAAATAATTTTAGAGAAAAGTCCATAAAAGATATTTCAAATGCATTGTTATAGAAGATTAGTAAATAATTGAATAGTAATAGAATTACGTTTTGAGGTAAATTGATTGTTTTTCCCTCGTTCTTTTTCATATAGATACACATAAGTCTATCACTGGGCTATAGTCCACAGATTTCCATCTTACAGTTGAGTTTGTCAGTTTTAAAATTATTTGAATATCAAACATAAATAATTTTAAGTCATCTTGGAAGTTTGCTGAGCTCCCTTAGTGGACTATACGGCCCTCTGATTGAGAACCAATGGTGCAATTTGATTAAACTTGAAGACTCAAATATGAAAGTAGCTCTTCAAGCTTGATTTTTTTTTTTCAGAGGATACAGAGGATCAGGGGGCATGCATTAATTTCATGTTCAATTCTTTATAATAACCCATGGTAAAATAACATGTTATATCGACTGTTCTAATATACACACTAATCAATGTTTATAGTCCTTCTTTCAAATCTTTCTCACTTCAATCTCTTTCTCTGCACTTTCAGGAGAGTATGTCGTCATGAAAACACATTTCCATCTCAAAAGGAAGATAGGTTACTTTGTCATCCAAACGTATTTGCCATGTATCATGACCGTGATCCTGTCCCAGGTGTCCTTCTGGCTAAACAGGGAATCTGTCCCTGCCAGAACTGTGTTTGGTGAGTGTCCAAATTATTTAAGTTAACCATTCAATGTTAGCATCACACTACAGCAGTCTCCAACTCTTCAACAGCTCTTCTCCAAAATCTTCAAATCTAGTGAGCTGTTTTATATATGTCTACGTAGTTGCTTTCTAAATCAGCATTCTGCATGAAATGGAATCTCATATATTGTAGAGAATAATCTCATTATTTGGAATAATCTACCTAGGCAGCAGCTCCTTACACCACAAAAACTGTGTTCCTCACGAGACAACTGACAATTACAATTATTCTTTTTTAACAATAATACTAAATGGTAAATAAAAAGGGGGGAATGTTCTTTAGTAGAGTGCTTAGTTTCCATTTGTGTGTGGGGTGGGTGGGACGTGCCCCCACAATACTTTGATTATATTTCGCTTTTTGAAAGCTATGAATAAAATATCTTGAGTCCATGAAATGCACACATAAATAGCACCAATCCCACATTCCTCATAATTTAATTCATACATGTAAAACAGTTTAAACAGATCGGATGATAACTGCTGCACTGTGCGACTGCTATCGAGAACAGGCGTGTAACACTATGCTCCTACTGTATATGTACACCTTAACGAATGAGGCTACGAACAGATCTCTATGCTTCTAGCTACATTTTCAGTGCTGCCCTTGTAGGAAATCAGTGTAAATGTATCTGGTTGCCTTGACAAATTCATGCACTTGCTGTTGCACAAATTCTTAAGTTCTGTTCTCAATCGTTTTAAATACTTTATTAAAAGGTTGCATGCATTGGTTGTTGGTTCTTCTAGGAAAAGCCTGCAAATTGAAAAAATCCTAAATACTTAATTTAGCAGTGATTCAAAGTTTTAAACTGTGCCAGGAGGAATCTGTGTGTCTGTGTAATGTATTATATAACTCATATCAGAAAGGAAAGATTTTGCTCTTCTGTCAGCTTGTTGGGCTATCCTTGCATGAAGTCTCCTGACTGGGCACTCTGAATTCCCAAGCGTTTACATCGCAGACAAACAAAAAGTTACATCTGAGAGCTGTCTGTGCCTTACTTCTTGCTGTGTGACTTTACAGCAGCCTCGGGAAACTATATTCGTATTCTCAATTGTATGAACTTGTATTCTACAAAAGCACTTTTGATTGAAAAATCCAGTAGCATTTCATTGCAGTACACGAGGTCCATGGGGCAAAGTTGGATCCAGATCTAAGGGGTGGAGATGGGTAGGATTAGGGGTGGGGTTAAAGTTCAGGGGGTGGAGATGGGTAGGATTAGGGGTGGGGTTAGAGATCAGGGGGTGGAGATGGGTAGGATTATGGGTGGGGTTAGAGATCATAGGGTGGAGATGGGTAGGATTAGGGGTGGGGTTAGGGATCAGGGGGTGGAGATGGGTAGGTTTAGGGGTGGGATTAGGGATCAGGGAGTGGAGATGGGGGTTTAGGGGTGGGTTAGGGATCAGGGGGTGGAGATGGGTTGGTTTAGGGGTGGGGTTAGGGATCAGGGGGTGGAGATAGGGTAGGTTGGGTAGGGGGGGGGTTAGGGATCAGGGGGTGGAGATGGGTAGGTTTGGGGGTGGGTTAGGGATCAGGGGGTGGAGATGGGTAGGTTTGGGGGTGGGGTTAGGGATCAGGGGGTGGAGATGGGTAGGTTTAGGTATATGTAAGGTAGGAGGAGTTGAATCTGGATCCAACCTGGATTTTATGCAGCGAGGACCATCTTGTGTCTAATGGGTCAAAGATGTGACACTCAGTTTTGTGACACTTTGTGTTTGGACCTATTGTAAAAAAAAAATAGCCTCTTTCTGTCAGAACCACAATAGTCAAATACGATCAGCAATCAGCATACAATTAGGATTGGCGCCAAGGTTCTTCAGAGTGTCTTTTATGTTATCTACTAACATGCACAAGTTCAAATAAACTTTTGACAAAAAAGGTTTTATAAAAAGATAAACGTCACGTATTTCAGCATTTAAATCATCTTTATAAAATAATGAGTCAATAAAAATACATTCCTGACATTTATAATGCACAGTAGATTATCTTTTATTGTTAATAGTAAAATTCTGTCCGATTTTCCCATGGCTGTCGTTGCTATACAACCATGCACTGCGCTCTCCACAACGACAAAGAAGTTTAAGTAGCTAATGTATTCCACCACAGAAAAACGCTTGCTGTAGCTCTGCTAAAAGATTTATTTACGAAGAGAAAAAATACCCAAGTGTTTGTTTACAAAAGTTTACAATTTTTCATCTCGCTGCTCCTGGAAAAAAATAAGTGCGTCGCTTCAGTATTGAGCGTGCTCCCCGTGTGCCTACATTTGAAATAACGACCTTGAGATTGCAAAAGACGCAATACGTGAACTAATCAGGAGACCCCTTGACATCGCTTCTGTGCACGGCACCTTCTCAGCAAGCACCTTCTCAACAAGCGCCATTGCCAATAATTGAATCGAAATGCTAAAAAATAGAAAACCTTCGTAGCACAGAGGGGTTTTTTTAACTGCTCGTGCCGCCCCCCATGTGACATGAAGAAATGCCACCCCGGGCGACAAAAAAAAAACCCGCCACTGTCTAGATAAGAGCAGGAATAATCATTAATGGGACAGCTTGAGACTGACGCTCATATTTTTACGACGTTCATATGGTTACAACGCTCAAATCATGCAGGGCTTCCTTTTCTAGTCCTTCGCGGACCCCTTTATTGATCAGCAGTACTGTAGTTAGGTAGTTAGGGTAGTGTTAATAATGTTGCTTATTAATTATGGCTACAAGCTGTTAGAACTATTAATACAACTCCCACTCCACCATACACACATTGTAATAACTTGAGCTTCTCTTTAACCACACAAAGATAAATTACATGAAAAGACATTTCCTATAAAAAAATCTTGCTGCACAAATGTCTCGGTTAAGTATGTAACGAGGGAACGGAGATGTTACGTCAGACGTGATCTGACAAATTGGGTTCTTGATCGCTGCAAACCAATCTCAGGGACAGATGCATTTGAAAATGAGTTTCTGCCTTAGCATCTTGAACGGGAGCCAGTGAAGGGCCCAGTTTAAAACTCGCAGTGCAACTGATGCACCCGCATACCATGACAGATGTATTTGCATCAGTCGCTGATGAAAGTCTGGATGGTCCTTTTCATCTTTGGGTCTGAGAACTCAATTTCCATTTTTCCCCCCAAAAAACAAGCAGAAATGTGGACTCATCTGACCACAGCACACATTTCCACTGTCTTCTAGACCATCTGGGATGAGCTCCGGCCCAGAGAACTCTACAGCATCTCTACATAGAATTAATGTATAGCTTTCTCCTTGCATAAAAGACATTCAAATTGCATTTTAACTGCAGTGGCAGACTGTGTTAAGTGATAATGGTTTTCCAATGTACTCCCAAGCCCATTACTGTTATATGGTAAACACAGTAGCATATTTCTCTGGATTCCATGAATCTTTTTCACAATATGATGTATGGTAGGTCTAGATGGTGAAAGACCTAAATACCTTGCAATCTCGCATTGATTTTTAAATTGTTTGACAATTATCACATGAAATTTGGCTAGACTGATAAAAACCTGACATATACTTGCTTAATGCAGGCGCTTTCCATTTGCTTTTTCTTTGCAGGAGTGACCACTGTCCTTACCATGACTACCCTAAGTATCAGCGCGAGAAACTCTCTCCCTAAGGTGGCCTATGCCACAGCCATGGACTGGTTCATTGCTGTTTGTTATGCCTTTGTCTTCTCGGCTCTCATAGAGTTTGCGACGGTAAACTACTTCACAAAGAGAGGTTACGCTTGGGATGGGAAAAGTGTGGTGCCAGAAAAGGTAAAGCCTTTCAGTTTTCAAATTAAATGAAAACAAACCAAAAAAAAATATTTGTTTTTATTGTTATTGTTAATTTAGAATTATATTCTATGGGCCAGATGTACTATATTTTATCAAACTTGTGTTCATTTATTTGCAATGCCAGAGGAAGACGTTATCTGAACATATTGTTTGCCAAGCCACATTATTTTTAATTTGCTGCGCCTGAGTTGTTAGTAGATCACTCACACCTGATTATCATTGGCTCCACTTGTTTGCGACCCTACACTAATTTGTGCTGCTCTTGATAGATTGTTTTGCTCATAATGGAAATGAGCTGGCTGTGTCTGTGTTCTTTCATTTTCTAACTGTCAGTAGATAACCTGCAGAACTTTTTCCTCGCATTGGCACTTTTATGAGATTACAGTCTCATGCTAATTTGGCCTGTTTAGTAAATTTGGCGCTTCGAAAAAAAAATGCTTGTGCATATTAAAACACTTTTACATGTGTTGCATCCAAGGGGTCAAAATTTGGCTGTTTTGAATGGTCCAGTTTAGCTGTTTTGCTTGGTCCAGGTAGCTCAGTTAGCTGATAAATTTCATAACTATACCTTTTTGGCTGCAAAAAGTCTTTCTCCATTTACGGGCATTCACTAATATTTAATGTGATGGAATCAATCTAAATGCCATCTAACCATCTATTTACGGGCATTCACTACTGTGTAATGTGATGTAATCAATTATTTCGATGCTCAGATTGATTTTAAATGGCCTAGGACTGTACATGTTCATGTTCTTGTTGTGCACTCAACTCATCAGCATTGTCATGACATTAGTTATTTATTGGCCTTAAAAAAAATTATAAGGAATCATTAGTTAGATTGCATTTAGATTCAAGCTTTGAGAAGAAAAACATCTCAGTTGCATATGTAACCCTCGTTCCCCGAAGGAGGGAACAAAGATTAAAGTAGAATGTGACCGACTGAAAGGGAACAAACTTGAGTGGTCCTGATCAAACTTCAGAACGACTTGGATACGGTTGTAACCTTAGTTCCCTGGTGGAGGGAACGAGACGTGATGTTGCACTTGGGAGCCCCAAACACCTCTGATATTTCAGAAAGGCAAGTGGAATTTGCATGCTCCACTCCCCCAGACATACGGGTGTAAAGCCGAGGGAACGGAGGTTACAACAGTTCCTTATCTGTCAGTCACTTTGACGTGGTTTCGATGTGATAACACTAGGGGGTCCCTATGGAAAACTCCACAATGAGATCCTGGTCATGCAGATGTCGAAGGTAGGTTGAGGTTCACATGTGGAAAATACATCACATGGAATTACTTTCCAGGAAGTACCACTCGTAGACAGAAGTCCTTGTGGTAGGACATCAATTGGCAGCACAGACGGAGCTCTGCCAAGGAGAAAACACAGGTTTACCATCAGGAAATCCTGAAATCATGGGTAATACATCATATGGAATTACCATTAGGGAATCACAACATATGAAGCGCACCAGGCCAAGCATACAGACTGACCTGAAAGACCTGAAAGGGCATGCATTATGAGTGAGGCCTGGCGTTGACTAACCTGGCCCTAGCCAGATGAATGTCGTTCCGCTTAGCTCCGCCTATCTTCACTCACATCCATCTGGAACCTCTTACATTGAGAGTGATTTCTCCAACCAACTTCATGGCTTAGCCAATCAGGACGCAGGGCGGGAGTTTCATAGATGTGACGTAGTGGAGAAGCGACCGTGAGACTGTTTTGATGATTCAGACAACAATGGCGGCTCGCATCGAGGAAGCAAGCGTTAACATTGATGCTGCTATTTCATCCGTGTTGTCCAATCTACCTAATATTGTTTAATTAAAAGAACATCAGAGAACGGCTCTAAAGGCTTTTGTTGGTGGAAACGATGTTTTGATGGTGGAATTTGATGTTTTTTCCTGCGGCGCTCTCATCAGCGTCACGGGTTGGCTTCGGTGTGAGTGGTTGAAATAGCACGTCGATAAAGATGACAGACAAGTGGCTTATCCAGTCATATGCAAGGATTTTTGATAAGGCCCAGCCTTCTGAAACGCCATTTCAATGGATCGGTTCCTGATGGATGAGTGGAGCTAGGCGGAGCGAAATTCATCTGGCTAGGGCCAGGTTAGGCGTTGACTTCCTCAGCTGAATTCGACTGCCTCAGGGGCTGAAAGGCAAAACAAATTAAGGGCTCGGCGGTCTAGGAAACTCACATGGACAAAAAAAGTGCAAGTTATCACCTCAGGGAGGGAAAATGTGCTGTGTGCTGCACCTTTGGTGCCAAGTGGTACACGTGGGCAGTTGCCCGCAGTTTTACCTGCTCATACCTGACACAGGAAGAAACTGGCTCAACACGGAGATTGAAAAATCTCGCAAAGGTAGGAGGTGTCACCCAGCCCACGACTTTGCAGATGTCTGTTAGAGAGGCGCCTTTAGCTAATTCCCAGGATGATGCAACGCTCCTAGTATAGTGTGCTTGTACACCAAAGGGGTATGGCACACCTTGTGCTTGATATTTCAAGGCTATAACATCCAAGATCCAGTGGGCCAAACTCTGTTTGGTGACAGCTATCCCCTATAACAAAGAGCTGTTCAGAGCTTATGAAGCTCTGCATGTGGTCCAGATCACCATTTGATCCCTAAAAGGGGTAGTGGGAAATTTGTGCAGAAAGCCCAGCCAGGATCTCACGATCTGAAAGTATGCCACCCTGAACTCAAGGCATGTTTCGTTGACAGAGAATGCCTGCAGGTCCCCTAAATTCTTGATGGAGGTAAGTGCGGTAAGGAGTGGCGTCTTCAGCGAGAGGGCATCCCGCTAGACTACAGAGAGATCTCATGAGGGAATAAGCCATTGCCTGTGCTACAGTCACTGTGCTGTCCATCCACACCAACACATGCTTGCCTTGGATCAACGGCCGAAACCTTTGCAGGGCCAGCAATACTGCCAGCGACTCAAGGCAATTGATTTACCCATTTCATTCAGCGCCCCAGCCTGACTTGGATGCATCTGTTGTGACAACAACGTGCCTGGACACTATTGCTCTAAAGGAATCCTTACTTTAGAAATGCAAGGTATTTCCAAGGGCTGAATGTACGGCGACAGATCCGTGTAATAATCACGCGTTGTGTGACACAGCACCATCTCGGGACTGGAGTCTGAAGCGGTCTCATATGCATCAACCCTAGCGGCGTTACTGCCGCGGACGATGCCAAATGCTCCAGGTTTCCTGGTTGACCTGAAGCCCCAAATGGCTAAGGTGTCTTAGCACCAGGTCCCTGTGTGCTCACAATAAATCTCGAGAGTACATTAGGATTAGCCAATCATCGAGATGGGGCAAGGGCAGCCTCTGCGACTTTCGTAAAGATGCAAGGTAACAGTAACAGCCTGAAAGGGAGCACCTTGCACTGCAAACCAAAGAAACAGTCTGTGTCGAGGTTCGAGATTCGTCTCCAAATGGGCACTTTAACTTTACCTGTGTATCTGTGTCCCGCATCTCAGTAAGGTTAACCAAATATGGCATTCCACCATGATTAACATTGCCTGGCCGAGAGCCCACACCATGACTTTAGTCACTCTGAGAGCAAAATCAGATGCCAAATGCAGTTACTGCATTAATCCCGGCTCAAAACTAACTACATTCAGGTCTTTCAGTCCCTCTGCATGGTGGACTTGGGGGATGGCCATGGCATGCAATTCAGAGATGGTTTGTCAGGCACTAGGGACGGAGTTAACGTCCAGACCCTGGATGAGAGTCGGGGACTCTGGAGAGTCCTCCAGGTGCCAGTGTTCTGCGGGCATAAATGCACACCAATTTTCCGCTCCACTTGGGGAAACTCCATGTGACCTCTGACTGCCCCACTGTCGCAAAGCGTGACCTGGCACTGAATGATCCCTATGCACCTCCAAGAAGGAAAGGCACTGTAAGTTGTGCTCCGAGCCCAAATATCAATCGTCCATCCGCGAGCGCTCAGAATAGGGCTAAGGATTCCACTCTAGTCCAATGCTCGCGTTGGCTTGGGCAAGCATAGCTGCCAACTCAGAAGGTTAGAACCTAGCCTACCCCCAAATTCTGCTATCAAAACATCACCCTCATCTGGAGCCCCAAATGATAAAGACACTTTCCCCCAGAGTTTTGCTCTTTTAGAGTTATGAAACAGCTCTTTTGCTGAAACTTGGAGATTGGAGAAACCTATCCGGGGAAGTGGCACATACAAATTTCACTCGCCAATTCTCATTGGCCTTTTCTGAAGTATCAGGGGTTTTTGGGGCTCCCAAGTGTGACCCCTAGTGCCATCACATTTACACCACGTTGAAGTGACTATCCGAGAGGGACTAACTTGGTATCTCATAATACTGAGAAACTTCCTCATAATTATGAGAAAGATGTCTGTTCTTCACATAAGATCACTAACTCGGAATATGATGCACAATAATTGATTTTAGGGTGTTTTGTTGTTGATTTTACTTTTTGAGCTAAGCAGTGGAATATTTTGATGACAGAATTTTCTTTAACTTTAAAAACCTGGGTCTATTAGACAAATAATACATATATGAAAAAGTATCTTCATATAAGTTAGGTATGCAGCAATACCCAGTGTTAGTAACAACTGATGACACTTCCTGTTGACCTTCTTTACAGCAAAAGAAGAAGAAGGAGTCATTGCTGAAAAAGAACAACACCTACACTGCTGCAACAGCAACAGCTTTTGCTCCGAACATTGCCAGAGACCCTGGTTTGGCAACTATTGCTAAAAGCGCCCCCCCTCCCCCAACTGAGCCCAAGGAAGAGCCAAAACCCAAAGCTCCTGAGGCAAAAAAGACCTTCAACAGCGTGAGCAAGATCGATAGGATTGCCAGAATAGCCTTCCCGTTGCTCTTCGGAACCTTTAACTTAGTGTATTGGGCAACCTACTTGAATAAAAAACCCAAATTACAGGGTGCCGTGCAACCACACTAAGTCTATCTTCTCTGTCTTTTTTTTCTCCTTATGTTTCCAAACAATTACAAAAAAGTGAAAAGAAACAATTTGTCTCAAATTTGTTTCAATGTTAGTCGAGTTCCCACTTTCAAGTTTGTGTCAACATATGTAACATACTGTATCTTCCTATATGATTGCAAAGTTACTTATTGTTAGTAGAGTGTTTAAAATGGACCATCGAAATAGTGTAACAGAATAATAGTTTCAAACTAATTTCCTTAAGGAATAGTTCACCCATAAATACATTTTCTGTCATTATATACTCTTCTTCATGTTGTTCCAATGTACGATCTTGTAGAACACAAAATGAGACACTTTTTGTTACAATGGCCGTTTAGTGACTATGTCTGTCAAGACCTGAAAAGGACAAAAACACCAATAACTAGCACCATAAAAGTAAAAATATACCATACACTTCTAAAGTCTCATTCTTCACATGACGCTACCACATGGCTTTAGAAGATTTACAGTATAGATTTTGTATAGAATATTTTTATGGTGCTTTATTTTTTTTTTTTTTCATGTGGTGAAAAACTATGTAGGTGTATGTGCAAGCTAAAAAATAAATGAAAAAAAATCTTCTGTGTTCCAGAAAAAAAAGCCTACAGTTTAAATAAATTGGGTGAACTATTCTTTAGATGTTTATTTCAACATTTAAATACTATGTTTTTTTGCATTACATTAGCAATGTACATGGAATAAGTTTGCATGGGTGAAGCTTTTCTATACCCAATCAACAGCTTGATTTAAACAGTCATGTGTTTCTCTGTTTTCTTTAGCCTGTGTTTTGAATCTTTCGTTATTTGACTTTATATTCTACTAGGGTTCCATTAACAGCAATAAAACATGTCTCAGTGGAGAAGAAAAAAATACTCATGGATATAAAAAATTAAAGAGAACTTAAAAAAAGATTAATGTGTATATCATAAAGCATACTATTTATTTAGTTTTCATGTAAATATAAAGTGTTAGAGATGTCAATATTCATTTTGAGCTTTGCTAAATGTAACTACAAGGTACAAACTCAGTGCTTGCCAGAAAGAGAGCTTTGTGTTTCGATTTGTGCAGATCATTGAGAAAATTTGGGTATGCATTTTTTTCCCCTACTGGACACTAGTTTGGATTTACCTTTTCATGATAATAATAATAATACATAAATTAAAGTACACTAGATACATAGAAGAAAAAATTTAAACTTCTGTTGATGTCAGAATGCAATTTTATATTAACATTAAATTACTCTTTAGTCTTTATTTTGATAGATGGCTTTTGAAACATTGTGGGTGGTGCACAATTATGGCACTAGGGGTTATCACTTAAGTCATCACTTAAGTCAGAATGGTTCAAGAGTAGTGCCTTGTATATATTTGCAAGTTGAAAGGGTACTTTCTTAGAAGGTGCTCTACTTATTTGTTTTCATTTTATGGGCAACCTTTTAAAAACATCACTGAAGAAAGTCTCAGCCACACTGCCTTTTGTCTCACATATCATAGTATACATATAAGCATAATCCATTACAGACATGTTTGTCCCTGCTTGTTAATGCAAACTAAAAGAAGACATTTCTAGATATTCTCCATGTATGTGAATACACTGTTCTACATATTAATATGTCTTGTAATGCTAAAACAATGCCAAATTCTTTTTATGTTTGTGGCATGTCAGTTGCACCTATTAAAAAACAACTTATAAAGGAGTATGCTCTCTATTTTTGGATTGAGAGAGAGGGAGAGAGAGAGAGGAGTTCTTTTAAATGAGGAACTTGGGCGTAATCATACTTTACTTTGATGTAGCAATATAGATTAGTAAGGGCTTTTTGTGATTGAAGTGATAAAAAGGCACACCTTTATAATCAATTTGAATTGCTATTCTCGGTATTAATGTATGCCTAAGTTGGCAGTGCTCCTGTTTTGTCGATTTGTTACTTTCTTTGTTTAAAATATGCTTTTTTTTTTCTTTTTCAAATAGATTTTTTTTTTGGTGTATGTCACTGAATATGTATATTTCTGACACATTGTCTGATGCAGATAAATGTCATGTTACCCCAATTTTAAAAAACAAAAACCTTTTTGATAGTACCTGGGAATTTGCTGAGTTTGTGCCAGATCAAGCAAAGACCGAACGTTTACTCTGGGATATGTGTGTGCACATGCACAGTCATGGAGTCCAATGGAGCCAGACTTTTGTGAATGCGGTAAAGTTGATTGAGGTTTCAACTCAGTATGTTGAATTGATGTTTAATATCATGTTGAAACAGTATATATAACACGATATCCATGATGATACTTCTAAAGATGCAGCGTTTTATTTGTACCAACCTGTTGTTATGCATTTTGCACATTATAGGCATATTTGATATTTATGTAGTCAGCTTTGTGCTATGCAAGGATAGCTTTAAACCATATTAATTAGCTTCCCACCCCTCATCACTGTCGTTTTCAATATATATATATTGTAAAAAGTCAGTTATAAACTGTGCACCCTATTTAGCTGTAGGACTGTTTGTCATTCAGAAAATCTAAAGATGGGTTGTTCAGTTTTGGAATAAACAAATTCAAAGATATGGTAATGTTGCAATAAAAAAATGTGGATTGAAAATAATTCAGTTGGTGTATTTTTATTATTTACACATCAATGAATAGACACATTTGGATTGTTTTGTTGCATCTAATGATATATATTTTTAATGTGTTATGAATTAAGAATTTGTATTTTTTTTATGGGAGATTATAGCATTTCATATGCACACCAGATTATGAACGTGGGTTTTTGATTTAGCAGTGTACTGGAGAAATCCAACATGCTGTAATAAAAAATAAAAAATAAAACTACATGTGCTTGCCCTAAGTTGAAGTGACTAAAGGATGAACTTGTGCATACATGGTCATTGGCACAAACAGCTTTGTCAAGAGGGAAAAATGATTAATTCTGCACTGTACACTGGGAAATGGCTATTGTCTTCGTAAAGGTTTGCTGTCTTAATGTTAAAGCCCTGTATAATTTGATTATCTTCATTAGCCATACAATAAAAAAAGAAATCCATAGATTTTTGTCATTTTTGTATGCTTGATCCATACTTTGGTCTTGTTTTCCAATAATAAATATTAGTACATTGATTATTAAATCAGAATACAATTACAAAAAAATCAATATGAACCAAAATTCACTTTAAAGATCAGAAAATTCATGTCTTGCAGCATTTTTTTGCCGTTCACTTCATTAACCGCAGTTTCTTGTGACATATCAATAATGGTCTACTTTCCGAACATAAATTTAAATACAAGGAACGTCAAACAAATAATATTTAAATATTTAACCACCAATACTAAACTATGTATGTTTTATTTAATGGCTACAACATACCGGCCCTTCTGTTTTACAGTTGCAACATATCATAAGTACCATAATAATTCACAGTGAACTAAATTCATAATCGATATAGGCTACTTTAATTGAAGCTCATAGACCACTGTATCTCATTACCATTTACAGTACATTCAAAGGTCATAAGTCAAGTCACCTTTATTAATATATCTCTTTAAAGCTTTACAGTGACCGAAAAAGGATGCATTTCGGCTGTTGTTCAGCTGATTCAGTTCCGCAGTAAAGCTCATCAATTATTAAATTAGTTATATCTATAATATAATCTATAAATCTGTAAAGCAATACCTAAAAGCAGTTAAAATAATAATAATTATTATTATTATTATGTCATTGTCCAGCTAAATTCAGTTCTTATACAAAAGCGTCAGTACAGATTATATATATCATTATATATACAAATATTGTTGAATATTAAGTGTCCCCAACTAAGCAAGCCAGAGTCGACAGTGGAGAGGAACCCAAACTCCATCAGGAGACAGAATTAAGAAAAATATATTAAGAGAAATAGGCTCAGTCCTCTGGCAAACAAATGAACATGGTGTGATTATGATTCAGGCTTCATCACAAGTCAGAATTCTCTGAAAATTGCCTCTTTTGAAAAAAATGAATTTGGATCCAAATGTCTTATCTAATTATAGGCCTATTTTATCCAAACTTCTTGAAAAAGTCGCATTAAACCAACTGCAGACTTTTCTAGACCAAAATGAGATTTTTGAAAAATTTCAGTCAGGATTTAGAGGCTTTGTTGAAAGTTCTAAATGATATTTTCATTGCAGTTGATTCTGGTAGCTCTGTAGTTTTAGTCTTGCTGGATTTAAGTTCAGCGTTTGATTCTATTGATCATAATATCCTAGTCTCCCGCCTGGAAAAAAACGTGGGAATTAAGGGCATGGTACTATATTGGTTCAGATCCTATTTGTCTAGGACGTTTTCTGTTAATTTTGGTCAACATCGATTAAAAGTGGCCCCATTGTCTAGTGGGGTTCCCCAAGGATCTATGCTGGGCCCAATTCTGTTTTCGTTATATATGCTACCTTTAGGTTCTATTTTTCGTAAGCATGGATTATCTTTTCATTGTTACGCGGATGACACTCATGCGTATTTACCATTGCGGAAACAGGACAAAAAATATTTTGAGTCACTAATTAGATGTTTACAAGAAGTTAAATCTTGGATGTCAGACAAAAAAATTGACATAAAAATTATTTCGACCTGGGCGAGTTAACCCCCTTTTGTAAATATACAGTGAAAAACCTTGGTGTCCAATTTGACAGTTCTTTGAAATTTGACAAACAGATTAATTCTGTAGTAAAATCTTGCTTTTACCATTTAAGATCAATAGCAAAGGTGAAACTGTTTTTGTCCCCAAGTGATTTTGAGAGGATTATTCATGCTTTTATTTCTGTGCGACTGGATTATTGTAACTTCCATGTAGGTGTCATCTAGGGCTGCAACAACTAATCGATAAAATCGATTATAATCGATTATGAAAATCGTTGTCAACGAATGTCATTATCGATTAGTTGGTCTGATTACGTCACGGGGATTGTTTACATGCTACATGCGCTTCTTACATGCGCTTCATGAGGCACACACGCAGTCTCTCTCCCTCGCCGGTCTGTGCGCAACACGGACGGTTTGGTGCACATTATCTTCTGTCTGGCATGCGCGCTCTTGATTCCGTGAGTTTGAACTAATTTGCGGGCATCAGGAAACCGCTATCAATACGCAGCATACACGAAAATCATTCACCTTTCGGCAAATTCGCCGTTTTGAAACCAAAATAGGTGACCTGGAAACTCTTTCCAAGATGATTCAATGTTATTATTATAATTGATCCGTAGATAAAGGTCTATGGTTTCGTAATATAATGACTATCTTGCTAGACTTTTATTGCTGTAACTTAATCACTTTCTACTGAGTGTCTGTTAGATCACAACACTAGAGTAGACTCGGCGCACTATAATTGTTCTTCACGTGCACAGTAGCCTAAATGAAATTTAAAACTGTTAAACGAAAAGGCTGAATAAACTATTGCAAAGATACTGTATAATACACAGTCAATATTGCTTCCTCACTAAACAGCTGTGCATCTGATTTTTACGATGTTTTTCATGAATGTATAACAACAATACAAAGAGCAATGTGTAACGTTTTACCAGAGTTAGTGCTACACTTATTGTCTCTTATTTTTTCCCCACTAAGGAATGTTTTTTTCACTAAATGTTCAGATTTTATAAAATTATTGTGCACTTGTGATTTTTCTAGGCTAAGTTTTTCTGAGTTATCCACTAATCTAGTTTACAATAGCATTTTTGTCATAGGTTATAGTCATATATATTTTTATTTGTTGTTTTTCTATATAATGAAGTTGTCTGTATTAAGAAGATTGTTTAACACACAAAAGAGTGTGGTTTTTAGGGTTTTAGGGTTTTATTTAGTTATAATAAACAAAAAAAATGAAATCAATTTTTTATCCGATTAATCGAAAAAATAATCGTCCGATTAATCGATTATCAAAATAATCGTTAGTTGCAGCCCTAGTGTCATCCAAGTACTGTTGAATCGCCTTCAATTGGTCATGAATGCGTCTGCTAGACTTTTAACAGGGACTCGTAAAAAGCAGCATGTGAAACCGGTTTTAGCCTCACTTAATTGGTTGCCAGTGCAGTTCAGAATTGATTTTAAATTATTGATATTTGTATATAAAGCATTGCATGATTTAGCCCCACCATATTTAGAGCATCTCCTTCATATACATAAACCTTCTAGGTCTGTAGACCTCTCACGACGGTTTTAAAGACAGCTCATTATTTCCATTCACTTCACCCCCTCCCTCCTGGGCTCCTTTCAAAGCCACGCCCCAAAACACATGAACGTGCGACTCCTACCGCTGAGCTGAAGACGCATTATTTACCTGAGACGAGGGGAGAGGAAGGAGCGCAGTGCATTTAGTGACATCATGTCAGAATCACATGTAATAAAAAAAAAAAAAATCGAACTTTATCATTATGAAGATAAACAAATAAGATATATTTTAGTTTAGTTTAAAATATATATTTATTGATTCGCTAACGAGCTAGTTATCTATAAGGCAAAGCTAAAAACGGGTTGCATGATAGACATTTTTCCATTGCCATCATTTACACTGTGATGAAGACGAATTTCGTGTAAAATTCATAACATATATGGTGTTCGGCATGTAAGAGTTTCCATGATGAAAGCATTGTTGACTCTGATGAGGACAGTGGGGTTAATAACATTTATGAGTCTTCCTCTACCATCCTAGGAAAAAAAAAAAAATCTCTCCCCAGATGTAGATCTACATTTTGCTTGGTTTCGCTCGGACATTTAACGGCGTAGACATACACACACACATACACGCGGATAGCTCAAAATGCGTATTATTCTAGACTTGAAAGTGGCGTGTATGTTTACGCAAAAGTCATGTCATGTTACCGCATCGTCAGCTCGAGGACAATCCGGGGTTGAGGGCGAAGCAGCGGAGGTCGTGCAACTAGGGTCCGAGGAAGTAGCTAGAGGCCAAGGACGGGGTGGCCGAAGTAGCACTTCTTGGACAAGACGACCTGCGTCAAGTTTTGCATTTTCAAGCTCAAACAAGGGCATGTGAACAGGTATGATCTGGATACGCACAAGTGGGCAGGTCCTGTGTGGCAAAAGGGTGGTTGCCATGGTTGCGAGAGAGTGACAGTCACCTTAGCGAATCCTTTGTTTCGTCCCGGTTGGAAATAATGAGCTGTGCTTAGTGCAAATTAAACGGTCTAGAGTCACTCGATTTTTATACTCTTGTCATCAGAGTACTTACATTTTAATTATGCATTGATATTAGGGGTGTAACGGTACACAAAAATCACGGTTCGGTACGTACCTCGGTTTTAAAGTCACGTTTTCGATACAGCAAAAAGAAAGAAATGCCAGAGAAATGTCCTATTTGTTTCAAGAAAAAACATTTTTAAATAAGTGTGAGTTTTCCTAGATCTTGAAACTTTCAGGTTTATAAATGGGGGGGGGGGTCATCTTTGAAGGATGAACAAATAATGTTTTGGTCATCACATTAAAAATAACTTTTAAATATATATTTATTTATATAATATTTGAATTTTGAAGTGCTGGAAAAAGATGTGTGAAGTACTTGAAAGCATTTCACCATTCCAGCCAAACTGGTTCCAGTTAGTGTTACTATATTAAATCCCTGGTGAATGTTGCTGGTCTGTGGACGTAAAGTACTAGTTCATTCATGGCACAATGTTTCTCCTGGTTTCCACGACAGCGCTGTTTGATCTAATAGAGATCTACTGTTAATAACGGAGAAATGTGAATGCTTTTCACTAGATCTCGCAGCGATGTTATTACCTCAGTGGCGAATTCAAATGTTTTCTTTACCGGATCTCTTAGCGCTGTGTAGTAACAGTGTTGCTTGATCGAGATCGGCTCGCGCTGCACAGATGTTGCTGGTCCGAACTGATAAACGATCCGTGAAGCACATAACGAGGAGCGCAGTTTCGTTCTGCTTTCATTGCGCTTGCCATTTGATGTTGCGCAACGCTGTGTTGGCCGCGTCAGCACGAATTTTGCCGGCAGGAAAAATGCTCCAAGCAATCGTTCGGTTTGTATGCGTACCGAACCGGAAGCCTCGAAC